AACAGCTCCGCACCGATACACCGATACACGCGTCTGACAATTTGATTGCGTGTGACAGGTGTTTACGAGTCGGCCCAGTCGGACCAACGATAACGAGAATGCCCGGAAGCTTTTGCTCACAGAAGCAGAACAAGAACAATTCCTGAAAGGGGGCAAAAAACACAAACCTAGACAAGCAGCGCAGGCATAGACCTAAAAGCCGTAGTATGTGCATCACTCGGAATATATGCTGTGGTTACAGGGCTCTGCAGTCATGGATGCCCTTGCGCTTCACCCGACATGGCGCTGACTCTGCCAGCTAGGAACTTAGCAAGGGCAGCAGATACAGCGAGCAGGACTACATCATGAATCATGAAGACTGTTTCGCATTTCGCAATCTTTACATAGATCTTTTGAGGGAGAGCAGGTTGCGGCGTCGGCAGAGCGCATGTGCTGCCTGTGCAGAAGCACGAATTTACGTGCCATTGAGGGCGGGGTGATCAACGGAGAGCAGACTCGGCTAGACTCGGCTAGTAGATTCTGGACAAGGAAGACGAAGATCGAAAGAGCCCAGCACCGACCGGAACAGTCCTTGTCACCTGTGTAGATCTTGTCACATGTCGTACCTGTCGCACCACAAACATAGCAAGCAATGCTTTAATTACCAGCGAGCAGATACTCGTGCCGAGAGCAAGAACGCACGTTGCTTGGCTGGGGTTGTCACTGTGTCGTGCAAGTCTTGCAAAAGAGAGCATGCGAAGGCGTGGGAACATGTCCAATCCGCTGAAGTGCCGGTCAGGTCGTGATAGCTCGTGTTTGCGAGGTCCCGGCCAGCCCACACTTGGCCCGCAGCTTGCAGCCCGCACCCCTTTGCCTCCGATCCCGATCGGACCCTGATCCGCCTCAGCCGGTTTCAGGCCCATGCGGCAACGTTGGCAGCGCCGCAACGACCCCCCTCCTGCGGCCTCGTCCGACATGGTGGGCCCTGGGCGCTGCCTTAACTGCTTTCTGGCTGGGGACTCGCCCCACGAAACTCAACTCTGATTGCGCTCGCAGGCCGAAGGAGGGAAGAAGAGGCTTGCAACCGTCGCGGTGATCGGCAGGTGCCCTCAGTCGATGCGACAGCTCCATTCGTCGTGTCCACTGTCACTCTGGCCCCTGGCCTGGTCTTTTCTTCAAAGGTGGAGGCGTGGCCGGCCTGGCCTGCGCACGGCGCCTAGGCCCCCCAAGAATCTCTTGCAAGTAGCTCAGCGCCTGCTCAGCGGCTCAGCGCTGCTCAGCGGCTCGGAGCGATTTTCTCAGAGAGTCTTTTGCCAGGAGCTCTGGGTTTGAAGGCGACGGTCTTCGACACCGGGAAGCGAGGGCCCGCACCCCAAACAGCCTCCTGTGTGCATCGTCCGTTCTCTTCTGCTTTCGATGCCCATTCCTTCTTTTCCACCTTTTAGCGGAGGCCCGGCGGCCGCGCCTCCTCTCGCACCTGGCGCCATTCTCAACAGGGATACCGGGAATACCGGGACTTAACTCTTGATCCCTCGCAGAGGCGCGGCCAGCTCTGTGACCATGCGAGTCAGTTCGTGACAGCCACGGACAAAGACTTCGCGGAGCTGCTCGCGTCGTCAGGACTCGGACGCATCCAGCCTAGCGGCCTAGCGGCCTAGCTGGCCTGGCTTCCGTTCTGACTGTGACCAGTCTGGAGGCGCTGTGCGGCCCTTTGGGAAGGATGGGCGTTTTGGGACGCTCAGCAAAGCGAACTTCGAGCCGCTACAAGACGGCGTCGAGCGCTGGATCGGTCTCGAGGGTATGGGTGGCATCGTGCGGATGCTCGCCGAGGGCCTGGACATTCAGCAGGCCCGGAGTTTGAGTGGATTTCAGCCCCCGGCCTCCCAATCTGCAGGATGTTTGGGTGCCGCCGTCCAACGGCCTGCAGTGCTCTCGCAGCGACGGGCGCTGGGGAATCACAGTGCGCCCGTAGCCAGCGTAGCTCACCTGTCGATCCTTCTTGTGTCGTCATTCGCAACTTCAAGTGCAGTCGTCTTGAGGTGCCTGGGCCCGGGCCACAGGGCAGAGAGGTGAAGTGGTTCGATGCGGCGGTCATCGCCCACAACGGCAAGTGCGCCGAGAGGCTGACGTCTTCGACCCCGGCCCAGGAGGCCGCTTCTCCCTCACAGCGTGTCAATGGAGTTCTCGTTCTGATGATTTTGCTTCTCTTGTCATATATATATGTATATGTATATATGTATATATGTATAATATAGAGAATCGTTACGACAACGTCCACTCCGACTGCATCCCTCACAGCATCCATGCCGCCCTAGTGCAGTTTCGGCCTCCATGCAGCATGGTCGCTGTGCACGCTCCGGACCATTTCCAACAAGCGACAGTCAGACAGCCCTCGCATGGCCAAAATGGCCGTGCTGCAAAGTACTGTATTGGGCTTCTTGAAGCCTTGTCTCGCACCTTCGCCATAGTTCGCCATGCAATAGATATGACATCAATATGTGACCTTTGAGACGCACCCCTTGAAATTGCGAATTCTCCCATGGCATAATGCACATTGCCAAGTTGGAACCTACCTGCTTCCGGGACTCCAGGCCTCAACAGTCCAACTGGGTTTGGAACAAGGATGAAACTCATGAATTCATGTCGTAGTGCAGATCCACCATGCAGAACGCACGACAAGCGACGAAACGACCTGTATCTTCGAGCCTTTTTTGGGGCCAGGGCTTTCTGCAGCAGCATTTGAAGCAGTGCCTTGGGTGTAGTCTGTAGGCTTCGACAATCGGTTTTTTGCGGCAAAAGGTTTGGCATTTCGCACTCTTTTCAGGTTGACTCGAAAGTCTTACTTCAGTTTAGCATGAGCCCCGTAACGAAATGCTCGACCCAGCTGGTATATACATACGCCCGAGTGGGAGGCGTCACTGGCACCAAGCCTGAAGTTTCTGCATGAGCATAGGGCACCAGAATAGTGCGGACAGGGGGTTCATTTGCAGAAATGCACGATTTTCCCGATGTAATCCAAGCAGGCCTGTCCCTGGGGCTTCCTGGGAACTACTTTGTGTTCAGGACTTCGGAGGTTGGATTTCGGAGCTAATTTAGAGGGCGGTGGGGGACGACATGATGATGACGATATGGCCATGACAACATGATGATGAGGACCTGCTGACACGATGACGCCATCACGATGACGATGATGATGTGTACGAAGTGCTGCAAATTCAAGCGAATTCGCTTCCCGCTGCAAATTCACCATGAAACACAGGGTCTTCGTAATGTACTGAAGTAATTATTGCTCCACACACGCACAAGACAAAACCTCGAGTTTGTGCATTCTTTCTGACCTCAACACATAAAGCCCCTGAACTATGAACCAGAACACCATCAACAACCGCGACTATCGGGATTCCGCGTCTTTATCGAGGTGTAGGAACCCAGGTTTTCGTGTTGAAGTGTGACTCCGCACTCGCACAAGACAGCACCTCGAACTTCTTCTGTTGGACTTCCCCCGGTCTCCGGTAAACCTTGTTGGAGGCAGAACAAGTTGCGGAGCATGGCAAGGTGCTCAAGTCTACAACACCTTGAGTTTCTCTGTGTTCAACCACTGCCACCTCCTAGTCCGAGTCCCTGCCGATGCACCACAGAATTGAACAACCAAAGCTCGTCAGGATGGAGTTCTTGGGATTCCAGGGCAGACATCTGGTGAATCTCAACAGCTCAGAGTCGATATCGCCTGAGTTCAGAGCTCGCGACAAAAGTGGAGCTGCGTCCACGATTCGGCTGCACTGCCCTGTAAGCTCTGTGCAGCTCATAGCAACTTGCCGTCCGCCATTGAGATAATTTGGACTGCTTTCAACAATATGCAACCAGACACCTCTGCAATGTGCTGTGGCTTGCATCTGGGTATGGGCAGTGGGTGCATTTTACATTCCCTCCGCTCTCTTCTCCGGCCATGTGGAGATAATTTCTCTTGAATTTGTGCAGGTCCATGCGCTTCTGCGGACCAACTTCGCCTGCTCTCTGCCACGCAGATTGCCTGCAGAGGAGCTAAAAGCAGCTCAGCACTGGTGCGTCCCATCTCGGGCCAAGGCAATCCGAGACCTGGTAGCGGGAGATTCACACTGAACCAGATCTACTCTTTGCTCTTGGAGGTGGTGCCCTGCTGAAAAGGAGACTTGCGGATGCAACAATCCATAGGTTCCCAGTGGGCTCATGCCGGCCAGCTTCGACGCGGCGACTGCCACTGTGTTGTGCCGCTATGCACTCTGTGCACTGTGCACTCCCTGCACTCAGCACTCCTGGTGGAGGCTTTCGTGGAGGACGAGCCCATCCTGCCACGTGGCAGAAGAGGGAGACTCTATGACGACTCTATGCGTTGCAGGGGCACTACTTTGTATCCATCCGGTCATAAGGCGCTGGCTGTCGTCGAACACTGCAAAGCTCCGCCAGGGCGGTGACGGCGAGGCACGAAGGATCAGTCCAGAGGAGAGGAGATGAAAGTAATACCAAAACGACAACAACATACAACAACCCGCGGATTGCTCGCCACTGACAGCACAGGTCTGGACCGCTCTGAGCTCTGCCCCGTTTGGAAAGCAGCACAAGGCCCCCCAGGCGCCCCCCGCCCAGCACCCAGCTGGTTCTCTCAGCATCAGCTCCCTGCACGAGAGGAGTTCCTGGAAGGGACCCCCAAGGAGACCGAGGCGGGGCTCTCGCCGCTTGGCTCTCCGCTTTGCGGTCGCTGCTATATGTGGTCACCGAGGTGGTGGAGCTCATGCTGAGCGCCGTCGAGCGTGCCGCGGGGCTCGCTAGGGGGAGCCTGCTCGGCAAGGTCCGTGCCACGAAGTTCCTGGGCCGCGACTTTTCTGGCTTGCAGTGCTTGCAGTGTGGCAGTGACATGCCTTCGGGCCTCAGGCTCCAACTCTGGGGTGCAGCTCTGCCCATCACACGCGCGGCCCCCACGTGGACGTGTTTTTTTTCAAAACTTGCGACCCATGGTGGCTGCTTTAGGCTGGGCAAGCCGGGATGCGGTGGATTTCGCGTGGTCGGCGGGCCATCGCATCGGCATCGCAGGCGCATGTTACGAGAGTATATTCAACTCTTTTGGTGTACAACTCGTCTCGTGACTGTTGGTTCCTCGTCAGAATCTGGTAGGCGACTGGCTCAGTGCCACGCCGGCTCGGGCCTCTACCATTGAGGCCGCATGGCTCTCGGGAGTTCGGCTGGCCGAGCACGTCGCTGCCTGGCGAGAAGAGCAGAGCACCAGCTTTCCGGAGCAGACTCGGCGGCAACACCGCCGGAGACCGAGGCTCGTGCAGCCGAGGAGGACGGGGACGGGGACGGGTCCCCACCCGGCTTTCGAAGCAAAGAGGCGGCATGCGTTCAGCAGAACCGCAGTCCACAAAGGAGGATTCCGAGCGGTCGTGGCTCGTATGTTAATTTCCATCGCGACCATGAGTGCTTCAGGGCGCATGAGGACGCCACGATAAGCGAGGGATCGACGCAGCGGTGCCATAGTATCAGCCTCAGCACAGACCAAACGGCCTGCCAACAGAAGCAACTCGTGCCAGAGTCCACAATCAACATCTGGAGTCTAGGGGAGGAGCTCACCGTAAACTGTTTGCAGCAACTAGGAGATAGCACAGGGTTCCGAAAGGCAAGCAGTCACGGATGGGGTTTGGAAGTCAACCGGATCGTGAGGTGCAGGTGTTGGCATGGTGGCCATCATGGTGGCATGGGCCATGAAAGGGGTTGGTGTATGGCCTGTATTGTGTGGGTGATGAGGCGAGCCGGCAGATATCTCCTCTGATCAATGCCGGCAGTGTCAATTTGCTTGGGATCGTGAGTGTTTTCGCCGAAATCAATCCTTCGGAGGACGCCGGCATCCAGCTTGGTCGGTGTCTCAAGTCGCTTTGCTAATACAGTACGACATCGTAAGCATGTCAACGCCGGAGGCCAAGACGGAGGTGTCTTCATACCCGTCGACGCAGACTTCGGCACAGCAGCCGGCGAGGCTGTGGCTCGCCCGGCTCGCTCGACCTCCTCAAGCTCTGAAGTCCCACTGTCTCGAGCTGCGACTGCTGCTCCAAGGTTTGGGTGACCGAGCCCGCAGACGAGCCGAAGGGCAAAGGAAAAGGTCGTGGTTCTGGCAAGGCACAGAGTGATACTTGTAGCAGTGTCTTCGTGTCTCGCCGGGACTCAGTGTCTTGCCTCGTGCGACGCAGGGTTGGAAAGGCAAAGCTGCGAAGTCAAGCCGATAACCCAATGAGCATGGTGCCGGGTCCTGTGCCCCAACGCTCGAGAAGCTGCGACCTTGTGAAGACATCTCCTGCGAGGAAAGGAACAATGGTTGTTCTGACCTGTTGCAGCTGTCAGCCAGTCCTTGAACGGCGAAGTGCCGGAAGCCATATCCCATCGGAGCACATAGTTTCGCACAAGCAATGCTTCGCAGATTTGCGATCCATTCCGGACAACTCGGAACCTACTAGCATTGAGGGCTGCTTATGTTGTTGTTCGAACTCTTGAGCCTCGACTGCACATTGCCTGCAAAGCCTGGCGGCACAAAGTGGAGGGTACGGGGTGAGCCATGCAGTGCGGCTATGGGGCTGGCTACGCCGCACCAAACCCTTACGCCAATGGCTATGGATGGGCTCCCCAAGTGCCGCTTGTCACGGCCTGGATGCTGGCTCTTGCTCTTGCCCTCAGCTTTCAGCTGAGGCCTTCGATAAATGGTCCGTCTGGCTGCAGTGGCTACGGGTACGGCGAGGGGTTCCAGCAAGGTGCTACGGGCACCGCTGGCATGCAGACCGGCAAGAGCGGACAAAATGGAAAGGGTGACGGCAAGAGCAGAGGCAAGAACAGCAAAGGAGGCTAGCACGTGCCTTTGTCGTGGAGCCTTGCAATTGGAATGTGATGGCATCGCATGTTTGTGCAAGGCGGTGACAGAGATCGTGCACAAAAGGCATGGTCCAGTGAAGGCAATTCCGAGGCAGCTTGTTGTCCAGGACTTCCGGGCAGGTTGTCATGGCTTGGCTTTGCTGGTGTTGTGTGCATGTTGCATAGCACACTTGTGTGCGCAGTAACAATCGCGAACCTTCAGCACTGTGGCCCGACGCGTCTTCGACGTCCAAGTTTTTCTCTCCAGCCCCTCATTCAGCGCTTGCCTCTGATCATCCTTTTCCGATGCCTCGACGGTGGCGGCGCAGCTGGCGGCGGCTTTGGCCGAAGCTCGGCGGATGGGGTATGTGGTGGGGCTGCTGTCGACGGATGAGGTTGCTGATCTCAACGACACAGCCTCGGCGGCCAACTTCGTGGATGGAGGGCAGAACCGACGCTTCGGCGGAGGATGTTCAGACCTTCACACCGTTGGTGGCCGGCGCAGCTGGACAGATGGCCAGTACGATGAGCCAGACGGCGCCAGTGTCATCTGATCATATCTGATATGGGGATGGCGGCAGCGCGCATTTTAATTTTGGAGGAGCCCGACATCGACGTGGAGGAGCAGACCAGGCCTCCCCTCGGCGCGGTTGGCGACGCCATGAATGGCACATAACGGCACCTCCGACAAAGACCAGATGTTCGACGTCGCCAAGACAGGTGGCGGCAGCCTGCGCCACTGGCCCGGATGCCCATAGCTCCGATGCTCTCGGGCCCCCCAACGCCCATGTCAAGCCCAAGAGCTGACACACCGGCGGACTTCTTTGTCCAGCCCACCACCAGAAGGCGAAAGCCACGACACCAGGGCAGACCCGTTTGAGTCCATGTTGGCGTCCCGTATGGCCCAGCCCGATCGGTCTAAGCCTCCAGCGAGTTTCATTCTATTTCCCCGTCGCAGCTATATTTTTTACAGCAAATCTAAGTATTATACTTCCAATGGTTTTAGTCGACAGAAAACGGCAAAGATCCAATTAACAAGTTGAGGCAATGTAAATCGTCTTCTAAGTCACAAGGAGTAGAGCAAGCTAGCCATTTTCTACACAACAATTAACAGATTGAGGCAATGTATTCCGTCTTCTCTAAGTTGAAAGGAGTAGAGCAAGCCAGAGTTTCTAAGTCACAGCAAACAACCGTTTTTTGATAACAAGCATCACAGTGGTAAAATCAAGGAATGTTTATGAATGTTTTTGAATAGTTTTGTGCACGGTTTTAGGAATATCTAAGAACATTTGTAAATTTTCTTACGAAGAAATGAGACATATGTTTGTTGTCTTTTACTTGCTTCTACATTTTAGCATGATTCCGAATGAGTCTTCTAGCATAACGCCCTCTGTCTCACGGCTATTTCCTCAAATAACTTAGGCTATAGCCGGAAACAGCCCTTATTTAGAATAGTCTAGTATCCTATATTAAATAGTCTAACCTTGGCTTACAGGCACCCACCCTCGCCACCCTATACGGGTCTGGGGCGGTCAGTCCTCAGCGGGCCGGTGCTGAGATGCACACCCGGCGCCGGCTGTAGGACCTGAACCTGCGCGCCGAACGGCGCATGCAGCGCTACATATCCACACGACGAAGAAAAAGCGTCGTCCAGTTTTGTCGTTAGAGCTAGGAGTGCGACGATTGTTTTCCGACATGAGCTGCTGCCGGAGGCACTGTCTGGTTTCAATGCCATGTCAGCTGCGGCGAGCAGCTATGTTAAGAAGGCCCCCAAGCAGGCTCCTGACCCTGCACTTCGCCCGAGTGCCGGTGCTCTGATTTTGGTCGTCTTGCTACCTGTTCAGGTGAAGGCTCCGGCAGAAATGAATGCACCCTCCTACGACGAGCGCAATCCGTACCGGCTCAAGAATCACATTCGCGCATGGCATACGGATGGTTCCACCACATCTGTACCCGAGCCCTATGGAAGCTATCCAGAGGCCGGTGTCGCCCAGCGGCCCAGCGGCAACCCAGGCTCATGACGAGGCTCATGAGCGTGCACAGGCGCAGCTGCCCCGTCCGCTCTTGGATGGCTTCAAGCGTGCTGGCTTCCAGGCCCCCACCCCCATACAGGCACGGCCAGAAACAAATCATTCTAGTGATGAGATTTGCAGTGGCTCCATTCTCAGGCACAGGTGTGGCCCATTCTAGACAACGGCTGGGATGTCATCGGCATCGCCAAGTTCCGCGGCAGGAAGAGAGTGCAGTGAGTCTGTCTTTTTTTCGAACTGCAGAGGACTGGCTCTGGCAAAACCTTGGGCTTCCTGGTCCCGGCTTACCGGTGGATGACCGCCAGCTACGTGGCAGGTATCCGCACCCTCATCATGGCACCCACGAGGGAGCTGGCCACACAGATCCATGATGAGGCGGTGCCATATGCATACGCTCACATCGCATGTTGGACCACCTACGCTGGCACGCGCTTGTAGCCAAATGTGCTCTGTCTGCTGTTCTGTCGGGCTGGGCTTTGTTGGGCTGGCTGGATGCAGCTGTGGAAGGCCAGCAAGTTCGCCGGGGCTTCGGGCTGCTCCAGTGCATGCGTCTACGGCGGCCAACCCAAGCGTGAGCAGCTGCCGGCCGTGCGGGCTGGAGCGCCGATTCTGGTGGCCACGCCCGGCCGCCTCAACGACTTCCTGGAGTACAAGGCGAGAGCAATTAGAGCTCAGCAGAAAATCCACGTTTCTGCACAAGTCAGGACATCAATCTATCCGGGGTGGGGTATCTCGTCTTCGACGAGGCTCCCTCAGCGAGTTAGGTCTGAGGTGTGGTCTTTCTCTGCTCCATGCAGGCCGACCGAATGCTAGACATGGGGTTTGAACCCCAAATTCGGGACATCATGAAGAAGGTGGGACTGGGTTCGGGCTCCAACATCCTCCTGCGCTTGCGTCCTGAGGGCATTGCCGGAAGTTTGGAATACCGGAAGCCGAGATGAGAAAGCACTGTCGTGGGACGTCTCTCCACATAATGGTCGCTCACTGCACTCGCGTCTGGCGCTTTTCGCCAGGTGCCCAGAAAGAGGCAGACGCTGATGTTCAGCGCCACCTGGCCCGAGGAGGCCTGGTTAGAGCATAGTCGCCGATTGTCCAAGCACGCTCCCTGTGTTTGTATTGTCGTCTCGACTAAAGAATATAAAGAATGGATAAGACAATCCGCTGAGTGCAAGGTGCAAAACCTCGCGTGTTGGCCTGAGATGTTGAGAGTTCCCAGAATCACCGAAATGGCAAGCCCAAAGCTCCATGAGCAGAAACAGCCCCCAGCCGGAAGGGTTTGGGGTTTAGAGTAACTCCAGCTGCAGGGGCGAGGCACCCTCTGGTCAGGGGATCTTGTGCAATGCCGAGGGTTCTTGTGAGCGTCCGAGGCATGATTTCCTCAGCTCGCCCATCCATGTGCAAGTTGGCGACACGTCCTCCTTATCGGCTAACGAAGACATCAGTCAACAAGTGTGGATGCTGAATTCTTCAGACGACAAGGATGCGGCTTTGGCAGCTAGACCATGCCATTATCGTGCCATCTGATTTCGTGTCACCTTCCGATTGTTGTCCCTGCCCGCTTGCCACGCTCATGGCCTTTCTCCAGAAGCTCTGAGGTAGAGGCACTGCAGCTCTACGGGGGTCCTCGCCAGCGAGTTCTGGTGTTCGTGGCAATGAAAAAGCAGTGTGATGCAGGGGGGCCCAGCATGGTGTCATTTGCACCTCCAAATTCCCACATCCGTCCTTTGAAATCCTGGGCCAGATGGTGATGCGGATGCTGCGCAAGTATCAGATCTCGGCCAACACCATGCACAGCGATAAGGACGTGTCACCGAGCGCAAGCCGGGAGCCCTTTCTCTGAAGACAGGACCAGCAGCAGCGAGAGGAGGCATTGCAGCAATTCAAGACCGGCGAGACGGCAGTGCTGATAGCCACGGACGCTGCAGCCTTAGACAGCACCCGAGAGGAAGAAGCCCGTTTTTCGCAGCTCGGAGGTCGCGGCCCGTGGGCTGGACATCAAAGGCCGCTCCAGGGCGCCGCTTTTGTCAGGAAATCTAAATGTGCAGTGCAGTGCCTGCTGTTTCCTGAGGCGTGACCCTGGTTCCGAGCTCGGCGATTGATTGGTAGAGGCCGGATACTGCACGCGCTGCAAAACTACTTTGCGCGAGGTCATCAACTACGACTCCGCCAACAGCACTGAAGATCACGTTCACAGAATAGGTGGAGTGTTTGCACATGACTGGTGAAAGCAGCCTGTTGAGCGCCAGGAAGAACAGGCCGCGCGGGGCAGAAGGGGCACAGCATCACTTTTCTCGCCAAGTCAGGCAAGGCCTCTATGGCTATGGCCCGAGTGCAGTGCATGCAAGCAGCAAGCTTCCTGTTGTTAGGCGAGGATGCCTGGAAGGCTATCGGCATCGCAGAGGTTCGCCGTTTCATTCCCAAAAGAGGGATTTTGAACCGCCCTATTTGCTCTAAGAACCCATTGTTTGGAAAAGCCTTTGTGTTAAAGACACTGCATCTGCACCGGCCCTCGGCTCCCTCAGCTCAGCGAAATTTTTGAGGTCATGCAGAAAGCGGGCTGCGCCGTCCCTCCAGAGATGAAGCAGGCTCGGGCCCCATCCGCACTCGCAGAACTCGCAGTGCTCTCGCTCTCTGCCTCCAACGCCTTCTGCCAGTGCAACACTCAGTGTGAGGTTTCCCAAGCCCGCTGTGTGCAGATACCCAGGTGTAGGAATCTCCGGTAGCCTGTGAGTCACATGTGACCGGTCTCTCTGTCTGTCTCTTCGTGCGTCCGCGTCTGCGACTGCGTCTGCCCGCCTGTCCCGTGGAAACATGCCCACGTGTGTGGCGTGCACTCGCACTTCCTATCGCGCAATGGAGCACAGCGCATCCCCCCTTGAGGTATCTTGCCAGTGTACCATATTCCAAAATGTCTCTTGAGAGGTGGTTGATCGGATGCTGTGGAGGCGGCAGCAGTCCCAGCAGCCGCGGCCCAAGGTTCCGCGTCTCCGCGCCCGTCCCAACAGCTTTGATGGGCCGAGGAACGATTCGCGCTGGGACAACTTGCCGAAGGCTCCGATACATTTCGACACGCTAAGAGAGCAGAGCCATGCTCGAGGTCCTGATGGTGGCCGAGAAGCCTTCCGTAGCCAAACTGATTGCGGAGATCCTGTCTGGGGGCCGCATGCGCTTTCGCAAAGGCCAGCAGTGATTCTATTTTTTGGTTTGCTTGGACTTGGCTCCAGCCGCCAGCCAAGGCCAAAGCCGAGCCGTACAAATCTACGAGTTCAACAGCTGGTTTCCACCAGCACATCAACAGTGTCGGATCATGCAGGCCACGGAGTGTGTGTGTGTGTGTGTCTGAAGAAATCAAGGCGCCTCTAGTGACCGTAAGGCAAAGGGGTCGCGTTGCAAAGCCGAAGCCCGAAACCAGGTAACCGCAAGGAGCGTCTAGCAACCAGGAGCAGACTCCAGCATGCACACCATCAGGAAGCAACACATTAAGCCCTTTAAGCCCCGAGCCTGAGCACTGCATCGGATCTGGCAGACCTCCACCATCGGCCACGTTTTTGGCAACTTGGCAGCGCAGAAGACGTCAACGCTCGAAGGACACTGGTGGCGGAGCGTTGCACCAAGGATTGGACTTCAAGGAGAATCGCCCGAAAGATATTGCGGAACTTTTCCATGATCCCTGCAAGAAGACCATCGAAGATGGCACGGCTGCGTGGCGCATTCAAGCGATCCAGACCTTCGGACCTTGGCACTACGGAGCATTGCGCCCTTCACCAAGGCCAAGAACAGGATCGTCGAGCACTTCCAGGAGATTCACCCGAACCCCCGAGATCCCCCCCGAAGCCCCCCGAAGCCCCAGGAGCTGGCCGCAGAAGCCGACTACTTGGCGCTCTGGCTCGACTGCGACAAGGAGGCGCGGCTGCGGCCGGGCATGTTGAGGGCACGTTAAGCTCGGTGCATGTACAGCTGACTCCGCAGGGAGAGAACATCTGCTTCGAGGTCATCTCCTTGTGTGCCGGCCACAGTCTATGCGAAGACCCAATAAACATTACTTTGAAATACTTTGAAGCTGTCCAGGCGAGAACATCCCGCGCGATAACATTTACAGGCCCTGAGTCACAGTGTGTCAGAGCTTCGCTGTCCCGCCTCTTCCTGCAGCTCTCGCTGGCAGGGCCCAGTTCTCCGCCTTGACCGAGCCGGAACTGCGAGGCCGCTTGGCCGGGTTTTGGGCTCCTCGTTTTGTCTTTTTTTTTTTTGTTTTGGGCTCTCTTCACTCTTCGCGCCCTGCGTGCGCTTCGCTTTTCTCTTCTTGCGTCGGGAGAGGCGCCTACAACAACTTGGGCCGGCCGGACAAGCTGGCGGCCCAAGCCGTGGATGCCTCAGTGGCCTCCAGACAGAAGAGCAAGCGGGTCTGTGACTCTCTGCGTGGGTATGTATGTATGTATGTGTGTGTGTATATATATATATATGCGCATATATATATATATATATAGAGAGAGAGTTTTTTTCTAACATTCATCTCATTCTCGCTACCATCACCATCATCAACATCATGACATGGCATTCAACAACACCCCAACCCCATCTTTCTTTGCTTTTCCTGACCTGTTGCCTTGCCGAAAGTCGTCTCTGTGTGTGTTTGTGTGTGTTGGTTGTGTGCGCGCGCGCGGGTGTGTGTGTGTGTGTGGACCTCTCCTGCTAAGCGGACCCAGTACTCTCAACCTTGCAGGGGGGCAGCGAGCATTTCTGGATTGCGCTGCCTAACAAAGACCGTCCAGATTTGCTGTGATATGAGGAAGGGACGCCTTCTTCACGTACCTGCAGTTTTTCATGTCTGATGAGTTTCGTTTCCATGTACAGCAGAGACAGAATGCAGATGATTGAAAACAGCCTTGAGTCCCGATTGGCCCT